GAGGGCATTCCTGAGTGGTAGCATGTGGGGCACGCAGGCAAATAGGCTGCCCAGCAAGTTACACACCATGGGCATGTCAGCTATTTCAACACACACTCCAGCTCGGTGATCAAATCCTACACAGTAGTCCCAGTTCTATATCTTCTCATGCATTAATCCCACTTAGTGGCAAGACAGAACCTGACATTAACAGTTTCTCCTATTGTGGTTCTACAAACTACTAACTAGTCTTCCTGATGTTTGTGTGGAAATGGAAGCAATTAAGCATATATGAAATATTTTAAAATAACAAATATTATATACAATGTATTTTAAAATAAAAAACAACCGGGGTGAGGGGAAGGGAAACACCAAATCAAGAGTTCTGCAACTCTTTTTTGGAACAGATTGAATCATGTTGAAATCTGCCCGAATGCTGAATACTTTCAGCACTGATCAGTCCTGGGCTCCAGGGAAAAAGAGAAGTAGGGTCAAGGTTTAATGCTTTATCTTAAAATTAAAATGGTGAATGCTATTTGCCAGACTGATGCTGTTTGCCAGACTTCCACATGATCAAAACGTGCTCAGGAAACGGACCTGCTGACGATGTCTATCTTAGCTGCTGCTTGTGTCCATCTAGCACCAACTGCTCATCTTGCAGACATCAACAGTTTGAAGTTAGACCATTTGAAATTAAGAGCACAAGAATGAGGTGCAAAAATAAATTAATTTTGAAGGTACAAATCAGAGAAAGCCAAGCTTTGTGCAGGCTGTTCCTAATGCCTCTTAAACAAAGGATATATTTGGAAAAAGGGAGATGATCACAGTGAGATACAGACAGTTCCTTGTATGATTAAAAACTTCTCCCTGAAGCGCTGAAATGTTCTACAGCTAGCAGGTGTACTAGCCAGTTAACTGAAGTGGAAACTCCATGTACTCAAGCAAAGATTGAATTTAGCCACCAAATCTAACCACACTCCAGGTAAATCCCACAATCCCACCCTTACCCCCGAAAAATAAAACAAAAACCCAAACAAACCTAAACCAGCTCATCAAGCAGGGCTTGTCATGATTTGAAACCTTAAGCATTGAGTAGCATGAGTAAGATAACACTAACAGCCCTATATAACTTCTTATCTATGCTGAGTTCATGGTATTACTTATAGCACAGATATCAGATTGGTACAATATTCTCAGCAGAAAAAGCCACTGAGCTCCTGAACCTGACACCGTGGCTGGGCAGAAGTGAAGCCTTGGCTAAACCCACCACTGCCATTTCTAGACTACTGAACTAAATGTTTCTCTTTCTCAGGAGAAACTGTTCATAAAGAGAAGAAAGAAAAACGATTTAGTTCTCAGCCTGGTAACTGAAAATGGATACATATAACTTTATTTGAAGGTAGAGTAGGAGGTGAGAATCTCACTTAAAGCTGTGCCTTGGTGCATAAGTGTCAGACACAAGACAGCTTTATCCAAATCACCCTATAAATCCTGGTGCCATGCTAATAAGATAAACCCTCTCTGACATTTCTTCTGGGTTCAAGGCTCAGGCTCTGTGCAGTACACTCCAGCTGCACTCCTAGGTCCTATGTCTAATCTAGTGTATGTATATATGCACATGCAGATGAAAATAACCTCTGAAGGATCAGGGTTGCAACAACAGAACGGGACTTCACATAGCACTGAATGAAGGCTGTGGATCATCTTTCAAGTGGAGGTGGCCAAGTTCTCCACAGAATTTGAGCCTGATGACAGTCACAGCCATAACAGCACTGAATAACCTGGGTAAGATGCTGGTCTGAACCTTGGATTTTGCTACTGGAGTTTCTGAGGAGTATGATGATTGGCCTAGGAATCTAAATACTACCCACCAGCATCTGGGGAATAAAGGAATCTCCCCATTTGATCATTTCAGCTTCCAGATCGTATTTCTGAACCCTGGATAAATATCCTGCCCTGAACTCTCTACTCCGAGCTTACTTTCCTTCATATGCCTGCTCAACCTGCCTCATTTCCAGTTCCTCACCACCTTGCCTACTTCTCACACAAGACCTTGACTTGGCATACAAGGTTCTTGGCCTTGCCCCTAACCCTCTTTGCCTCTTGCCCTTTGAGCTGGGTATCCACAGAGGAGTCTTGCCTCCTGTAGTTAGCTCACCCTGAATTGCTCTCAGTGCTTTGATTCTGGTCCTAATTGCTAGGCATGCCTGCTCATATCCTGATTGAGATCCTCAGACATGCCTTCTCTTCACCTTCTTGCTATTGCTTTTCCCTATTGTCTCTTGACTTTTATAAGAGGGCTCTCATCTGTTGCCTGCTCACCTTCAGTTACCACATAGCCATGGGGCACTCTCCTCCCTTCCAGCCTGCTTTGCTCTCCTCTCCCTGCAGCTGCCTGCTGGAGAAGCTGTGAACCTCTGGGGTGGGAGAAAGCAGCGGAGCAGCAGGTCATGCACATGGCATGGAAAAGCAACCACATTCTTCTCTGCAAAATCATCTTTTGGAGATATACCATGCCTGAAAATCCAGCAGGTTTCCATATGATATCCATCTGGCACAAACTGCTCCCCTAAGGTGTAATTTGCGCTCAGGAAGGCACAGGAAATGACTGCAGAAATAATACAGCAGCTATAAATTGGTCTGAAAACAGCTGCTGGAAGCAAGTAGAGAGCAGGTAGATTTTAGCATCAGTCCCGTGACTGCAAGAAGGTGACATATAGTGGTAGCTGCATTTCTGTTTCTCACCCCATAATATAAATCACATTAACTTCTTAGAATATTATAAAAATGGAGCTAGAAACTTCTTAAAATTAAGAGGTAACTATAGCACATGCCTTTGGGAAAGGAAAGGCAAAGGGTTGCTGATTTTAAGCAATATAGCAGCACACTGTGTCTAGTCTCACTATGCCCCCACCCCACATGTCATCACCTTGAGACAGGCAGTAGTACCCTTAATAAAGGGGGTTTAGAATGCAGGAGAGCATTCTTGAACAGGAGAGCAGCATCTCAAGGAGCACAACTGGACATTACAGCAGGCACTGAGCACTCTGGGCAAATGCCTAGCAGCATGCTAAACCAATCCAAGAGAAGTACATATGGTAAAAAGAAACTTCTCTTTGTAAAACCTGCAATGAGCAGGGCTTGGCCAACACCAAGACACCTGGTCCTCTGTGGCCTCTGTGGCCAGTGTGAAGACAAGATGGTCAGTTGTGACAGTAGTATTTGACACCCTCCAAGCTTTGTGCAGATGTAAACACCTTCACAGGTATGAAGCTTAGTGATGGTGCCCAGAGCAGGCAGCAGGTGTTTACAGTTCAATTGTGCTATCCCCTACACCTGTTATACACTGGCACAGCTCCAGGGAGTTATCCCAGACCACCAGCATGAGACTGTGGGGACAGGATCTGGGCCAGACATCATTCTGGTGTATCTGCTGAGCTCAGAGAAGGATGCAGCATTCTTTTGGATAGTGGAAATCTTACATCATGGTGTTACAGTAGATTTGGATGAGGGAAAGTAAGAGCTGTGCTATAGGCACAATATGAAGTCTACATTGTGGTTGTATAGGTGCAAACAAAAAGAAAATGGGAAACTTTAGGCCAGGAGTTTGCCATACATGCCCTGACTCCAAGCAGGGTATTATTGGGCTGATTATTGCCTGTTAAGTATGTTACACCACTTCTAGAAAGGATCTTCCAAACGGTAACTGGGGCTAATGCTTTGTTTTCAACCCACTTATCACACTGGGAATTTTTATATGCATTTGATGCAGACAAAACCAACTGCAAAACCTAGGAAAAAGGGAAAGTGACTGTCTCCTGATGTTCCTTTACATAAACTTTGCAATTCTCTGAGCAAATGAATTTCTACTACTATCACAGCTGTGTTTTGGGGTTTTTTGCCCCACTAGACTCTAGGTTTATTCAGTGAGGAACTTCATTTTGCTCCAATGTGAAGTAGGAAGATAATGTTTCTGATGGATTTCCATTTTACATAGAAGCTGAAAGGTATGTGCAGTAATCCAGTAAAATGAGATAAGTTCCCTTCATCCTAGAACCATAACCCAATTGGGTACAGAGTTAAAAACAGGGGGAGATGCCTCATAATGAACAGGAGCTAAAGAAGGGGAGTCATTTGCATGTACAAAGCTGCACCAAATGCATGCAATCAATTCTACTTCTGTCATGAATCAGGAAATTAGTTTCCTTTTTATTTGGTTCTGCTGGGCTTCCCATACACATTACACAGCTACTTCCTAGAACTCTGTAAACAGCTTTCTAGACTTTATGGTTTTCCTACTACTTCTTTCTTCATGCATACAATTATTTTTCTTCTGGGCTTTCTGATGTGCTATTTGAATGCCTGGCATTTTAGAAATGATGTGTGAGAGCCTTGAAGACACTGGGTTGAATGATGGAGTCAGGAGGGGGCAGAAGGAAGGGTATAAATCAGAGCAAGACCCAAGAGAGCTTTTGAGGCATTAATGACAAACAGGATAGTGAGAAGGTTTTATGAATTGCAAAAATGCAATGGGAGGAGGAAGGGGAACAACATGTTGATTTAAGAGGAGGAAGAAGTGAAGCACCTATAGAGTGACTGGTCTTCTTGGGAACTGAGGCAGTGACTGCTGGAGATCTGAGGATCAACCTTTTCCTTTCCCCACGGATGGCAGCAGTGCTATCTGAGACTCTTCCCTCTGGGCCATTGGCTATTAATAACTGCAGGATGCCTGTGCAAGCAGCCTTCAGGAGTCAAATTCACAGCACTTTGCATCAACACTTTGTGCTGGGCAGAGTTTGCCTGCACCCAGGCACCCTGGGTGAGCAGGGCTTCTGGACAAGCCTCCCCAGCAGCACCCAGAGACGGGTTAGGAGGAAGCAGCCCACTGCCGAGCTCTGGGACAGGCACTTGAGCTTGTCTGAACCTGGCACTACAAGCCTGAGGTGAGTTGACTGGGCAGCAAAACAGTTTAGAGCAGGTGTTGGAGAGGGTAAAGGCTGGTTTGGTTTGCAGCAAAACCAAGCAAATCAGGGCTGCAAAGACTGATGCAGAGGAATTGAACCAAGGAATAGATCTCAGGGGAATAAAAGATAACTCTGACCCTGGCTTTATGTATGGGATAGTGGGGATGATGGGGATTGAGGCTTCAGCAGCCTCCTTGTGGTGGGGTGACTGAAAGAGCAGCAGTCCCAATGTAGCTCTGGAACCTGTCCATAGTGAAAGACTGCTGCCTCCTTTCTTATACTAGACTAACAGCATGCAGCAGGTTTTCCACTCCTTGAATTAGTAAAGGAGGACAGCAGAAAGGGATGGACTTGCCCTCACTGCTTCTTGGGAATGAATGTTCTAGAGGAGCACAGTTCCCCACCAGTGCCAGCTCTTTCTGCCTTGCCCCAGGGAGTCCACATTTGGGGAATACAGACTATTTTCCTCTGCTTTGCCAGTCTTATGACCCATCAGATGGGCCACAACCTCCCACCCCCCACCTCCTGGCAGCATTGCCCCTTTCCTGTCAAGCAGGGCCTGCTTCTTTTACATAACGAAGCAGATGTCCGGCTGCTCGAGGAGAATGTATGGCACGTGCTTTATGGCTGCACCTGCTCACACTTGCTTTGGAAATACACCAGGATGGGCTCTTTTAAGATATGAACTACATAGGCAGCATTTCGGTGTAAAAAAAACAAACAAAAAAAACAACCAAAAAACCCTTGGAAATCTGAAACAAAAAGAGAGTATTTGTCAATGTGATTGGTGCTGGTTTGCTGTGCCTGGGCTTCTTTTAGCAGTTATCATCACCTCATCACATGAAAATCATGTTGCAAAAGGAGCAATGGTGGAATGAAACTGCAAAATACACAGGGGATAAAAATGTCTTGATCACAATAACGGCAATGTACAAACTCATAGAGCCAACTGTTTGCTTGCTAGTTTTTAAATATAATTCATAGTTCAATGTCTTCAGTTCTAAAATTTTAAGCACTAAAGGCAAAGAATCACAAGGACTGAGATGGTTAATTAGTGCTATTGCTGAAGCCAACGGGTTTTTGCTCATTTTAATTTGTATTGTATTAAGCGAGGATCTACCCCCTATATGCTATTGTTTGGGCATGGACAGTGTTGAAGGGAAGGCAAGACATTTGACCTACATACATTATGTGTGATAACCCCCAAGAAGGACTCTGAGAAGCTGTCTGGAGTAGAATTGCTGAGATTTCTCCTCATTTTCCATGACTTTGCAGTGCAGAGCTCTCATTCTATCTGGGGACAGAGATGGGGAACACTGCACCAGAAGAAATCTTTCCGTTCCCTCCTTCCCCCTCCTGAATGATATGCATATGATCAATATATAAGATATAGGTGCAAGTGACTTCAAGCAAATCAGGCGAACGTTTCCGTTATCAATTTTGCTTGTGCCTTCTTCCTCCAGCCCTTGTGTAACAAAACAGTAGCAGTCATAGCAAACAGAATTACTTAGAGGTTTGGCTGTTTTCTTTTGTTCTCAGAACTCTCAGTCTCGTGGTTTTCTGAATACCTATTCTAATCTAACAGTACTATCTAAATATCCAAACCAAACTCGCACATTATTCAAAATGCTCCCAAACAACTCATGGCCAGATTCAAAATCCTTATACTAAAATACAGAATACCATGTAATGATAACTGCATGGTATTATAATATGGTACGATAAAGCAAATTTTCAAACTGACGTTCTGTTAGTACAGCATGGGATGATAACAGACTGGCACACGTGGGTGCTGGGAGACTGCCATGTTGCAAATAAAATGCCTACTTTGGATTACAATGCTATATGACACAAGCAATGCTTGTGCTGTGATCTGCTGCCATATTTTGTGTCATAACGCTAAGTCCTCAGAGAACACCACAATTGCCTGCTGATAATATTCTGTATAGGATGATACCACTCACTAGTTCCTTCATGTGGAAGGGATAGGAAAGAACCTTTGTATGAAAGGAAGGCTGTGTTTCTCTTAACTGTAGATGGCAACTGGAAGAGAGGCAAGAAATAAGTTTCCAGTGTTTCATTCTCCATTTCCTTGTGTGTTTAGAGCAAAGCAGAGAACCCTTTGTGGGAATGCCCCTTGCAGGGACTCCTGCTCCTGTTAAAAGGAAAAAGTCCACTAAACTCATTGGGAAGCTGACACAAGAAGGTAAGATATGCAAAACTGCACACATGAGAATTGTTCGGCTTTCAACCTGAATTTCAGCCCTTAAAATTTCACACCGTGTCTGACTGAGCTCCTAGAGCAAGACATGCAGTGAACATACCAGAAGAAAGAGACACAAATATAACTGAAGTTCAGCCTGCAATCACATCACATTTTCTAATTTACTGTTCAAAAGCATTGTACACACACTCAGGTTAAAAGTTGACCTACAACACACTTTGTAAACTCATATTCTCCTGCAGCATTAATTTGGAGGTGCAGCAGTGTAAATGGAAAGGGAACATAATCTTTTATGTGAATTGATATTGCAAAGTCTTGTTATATTCTATGTCGTTCTCTCTCTTATAAGCTTTTTCTCAAATTTATTTTTCTTCTGTGTGATAGAATTCCAGCACTCATTAGTTGAAAAAGTCCATTTCTTAGAGGGGGTAATACAATAGGAAGAATATACCTTGGGACACTTTTCTTTCTGCAGAATACCTGTGTATTGGGTAGGGTGACTTTTAATTAACCGTGATAACCTTATCTTCTCTTTACTTTTGACAGCATGGGGAAGGGTTTTAGAGGTTTTGAAAAGCATCAATTCAATGTTGTTCCTTCCTGCAGCCCTCAAAAAGGGCTGTAGAAACTTCTTTGCGAGGGTACAGGAATATACTTTTCTGTTTGGCCCTAATCCTTTATTCAAGTAAACAAGTAAGTGAAAATCCAATTTTCAGTTAAAGGGCATTTCCTCGTGTGCTACGAAATAGTGCTATATAAAATTGGCTTGCTAAAAAAAATTATTTCTTCAGAGAATGTTTAATGAAATGAGTGGCCTTATACCAATATTATATTAGTTTACAGATGGAGATTCATTCTCTGTTGTAAATGAGATGTAAAGGTGCATAAGTGGTCTTAACCTTGGTCATTACAGAAAAAAGAAAGTCTAGTAAAAGTTATGTGTTTCTGAATGAAAAGTTTTAACTGCATTTCTGCAAAATTTTTACACTAAACATTTTTTAATCCATTGTTTTGATGGAGAATTGCTGGTACCAAATTAAATGCAAAGGACTTATTGAGTCACTGGCATATTAAGACTTGAAGAGAACTTCAACTAGTTTTCCCTTTAAAAAGTCTCCTTAAAACAAAAAAACAAAAAGATACAATAACATTGAATCTTGCCATAGCTTCAGGATAATGTTTAAACCAAAGCACACCACAGTTGTCTCTATTTATTATATGTCAGCCCAATCTGAAGAGCTGACTGCCACTGATCTAATTCCAGAGGGAGGGGGGGCGTGTGTAGGGACGTAACCAGACACGGCAGTGGTGCATTTTGAGGTAATTCTAAGGAATCCTGCTGCACTGACTGAGGAGCTTCAGATATGGGACACATGCCTCTAGCTCCACCCTTACGCAACTCTTCTTTGTGCAGATTTGCCTTGATTGCAATCCAGAGTAAATTACACCCATCTATACTGATGCTACATCTATGTGTCATCAAAGTAAAAATTTGGTGCATAGGTTATTTCCTAAAACTTAATTTAGAAAAGAATTTGTCTGCTTTGAAGTCACTACTGATGCTGGGAAGCAATGGACAAGAGACATGGACCAGAGCACTTCCTAAAGCATTCGATTCCATGTTTTGTAGTCATGCCACAAGAGGTGTCCAAGCTGAACTTGGGGAAGAAGATCAGCACCCCCAGAGATGTGATGCTAGAAGAACTTTCTCTCCTCACTAACAAAGGATCCAAGATGTTCAAATTACGCCAGCTGAGGGTGGAGAAGTTCATTTATGAGAACAACCCTGATGCCTTCACCGACAATTCTGTGGTAAGTTGGAGATTAAAACTAAAAAGCTGCTCCATACACCCAGGGGAAACAGGAATGGAGTGTGCCCAAGCTCTCCCATCTGAACACGCATGAGCTGGGGGGGGGAGGAAGGAGGGTGGAGAAGGGACATATAATGCAGGAGAAAGCCAAAATTATATAAACACACAGTTTTATATCCTTTTGGCAGCAGCATTAGTTTCCTTTGGCAAATACTTGGTATCATACATGCAGAAGCATGAGAAAATTCAGAAATGAGTGACAAAGGTGGACTGCATGTTTGGCAGGTGTTCAGAGCTGCACAGGGCAGGACTAACTGTTTTTGCTCCCATTCAATTTCTTCTTTGCAATATAGAAATGATCCATCCAGGTTTAACTCTAGCTCCAGTAGGTGTGGTTCTGTTTTTAGCCTAGGATACACTTTTATGCTTCCTGCTGGGCAAAGTCATTTGCTCATTTCTGCAGCAAGTTCCACACATGAAAATTCAGACAGAAACCTCTAACCTGATACTGCAGCATCTTCAGTTTATTTGCTAGAAGGTACGTTTCTTTTCTTCTAAAGTATTTTCCTATCAGATATGGTGTACAAATTCATTTTCCTCCCCTCGTCCCCGCCTTCCCTTTCCCATGAGTTAGTACTATTATTTAAGCTTTGAACTTCTCTATATGGTTGGTTGCTGGTGTAAAGTCCTCTGAAGATACTTAACCTTTTACAAATACAACTCCCCTTTTACTTGATTGGCAGCAGTTTAGTAAAACAAATAGAAAATATTTCAGGCTATATATGCATTTTGATGTAGCATCTTGTCTTCTGATGTTTTTTAAAATTTATTTGGAGTCATTTTGCCCCTTTATGGCATCTACTTTCCAGTCCAAGGAAACTCAAGCAAAATAGTAAGGTCAAGCTGAAGAAAATGTTCAGCCAAACAAAAACCGCTATGTTTTAGTCCTATGTTTCAGTTTTTTTGATGTTTTCAAAAGCAGCAATAAGTAAATCTTTGTAGTTCACTTCTAAAAATGACAGTTTGGGAAGCAGGGAGTGGAAAGATATCTGAAAGACAAAATGTAATTAAAATTACAACAGAAGGTCAGCTTACAGATCACGGATGACACACCAGAGATAGATACAGCAAGCATATCCAGTGCTGTTAGACTTTGGGCAGTTTCTTCATCTCTTTGTTCTTTAGGTACTTCATCTCTTCAGTGAGATAACTCCAAGATAGGAAGTGAGAATGAATTGTGTTTTGGACTTTGGACTCTTCAGATGAAAATACTAGAAAAATACACTATTTTTATAAATACTCAGCAATCTCAGAGCTCCTAAAACATATGAAAGCCAAGTTCACGTCAGAATCTGCTGCTGTGAGAAGGAGTGAGACAAAGGTCTTTTTCCAACCTAGTTGATTCTATGATTCTATAATTCTAAATAATAAGGTAATGGAATAAAAAGTCTAAAAAATTTGAGGGTGTCACTTAAGGGTATCCAATCCGAGAAATGCAAAGCAAATGAGTTGTGACAAACTGACTCAAAACTGGACATGCCCAGGGTCCTTCCAAGACTGACATTGCAAAGGCTGATGACAATCGCTTCATTTTTGTTAGCTGTTTTTCCTCCTTTGTTTATTCATCCATGTCTGACTTTCACTCCATACCCTTTCTGTTGTCAGTCTCTCCCTCTGTTCTGTAGGAACACCTCTGCTCCCAAGCTCTTTGAGCAAGACTGTAAGATACTGTGCTGGGGATAAATGTATTTGGGTGTTAGACAAAAATGCAACAAGCCTACGATTTTCTTTATGGCTTTGCTATATGGGAACAAAGGCATGGTCTCCAAACAGCAGCTGATACCCTGCTTTAAAATCCTCGATCGTTCACTTTCATGACTACCTTTTCTCCACATTCATGGTACAGGTAACAAATCTCCATTGGTCATTGCAGGAAGACTTTGGTCTGCCCTGGAGCCTCTGCACAGGGCTCGCATAGGAGGATCACAAACATAATTGTTACCATTTGCTAGCTGCCCAGTGTGCTCTGTGCAAGGACTCTGCCAGGCTGCATCCACTGCTGCCATGGGTAACTATTGTCATCATCACAGCCAGCACGAATTAGCACCTTTGCTGGCAGTCAGAGCAGCGAGAAGAAAAGCTGAGTGATCACAGCAATTGAGCCATCCTCTCTGAGAGCTGGTTGCTCTTGGGTAGGTAAAGGCAAGAGATTGGTAGCCTCACTGTTATCTTCCAAACCACCAGGACAGTGCCTGACCTTAGCATCAAATAACTTCCATCATAAGGCCCTTTTGATTGCAATGTTTGATTAGCTTTCCGTTCCTTTCCTTTCTTGCTCCTGGCTCTGCTCAAAGGTGGATGCAGAAAAGAAGGTTTAAACAAAAAGAAACTGTGAGAGGAAGATAATGGCAGAGTAAAGAATTTCTACTGCTAATTCCAGTTACTTCCCCCTCACAGTTAATTTTTACATCCTTTGCTCCCCATCCCAAAGAAGTCTTTGTGCCTTTAAAGCTGTGGGACAGTGAAGGGATTAAAACTGGTGGTGTGTTTACTGCTTTTATATCATAGATTTTTAAATGTCTTAGAATATTATCAGGACACACATAGCAAAACAGAGCAAGAAAGGTCTGGGGTGGAGAACAGATTGGGGTTTCCCCCCCCCAGAAAAAAAGTTTAACAGCAAAGTAATGTAATATAGAAACAAACAGAGAGAAAGGTTATTAAAAATAAATCAAAACCATATAAGGGGTTCCAGAATAGCCTGTGCCATAGCCATAAACCTTCCACACAAGGGAGAAGATCTCAGCAGTCATGTGTCAGTGATCTACCCTCCTGCTTCTCTCCTCCTCCTTCTCCTCCAGCCAAAGAACCACATTGGACAATCAGATCACTCTCTTTACTTTTAGCGGAGAAAATGCATATGTTGTGTGTGCATGAATGTCAGACCAGCTCCATGTAAAAGTGAAAACCTGCCACTCTTTCACTGATCAGCTCCCATCCAGTTAAAGGCAAACTATAGCTAAACTCACAGACAAATGGACTGACCATTGCCAACATGAGCAAAGCAAAATGCAGTTATGTACTGTACAGCTGTGTTCAATGCTGTGACCCTCTTCTCTTGTAAATACACACTACAAGGGAATGTTTTTAGGGAGGACTGAGACTGACACTTTAAGCACACTGATATCCTGCCAAAAGGGGAGGGTTCATGTGATACCCTCATTGTTTGCTGCTGCGTTGGAGAAGCTGGGCTCTGCTGAGCCCTGTCTAATAAATGAGAAGGATTTCTTCTCCTCACCCCACGCTGTACCAACCTGGCACAGGAACTGTGGTTCCTTCCATGTCTCATAAGATATTATCAACCTCACTGTGGAGCTGCAAGATGCAACTTACTACTGGCTAAAGACCATGATGAAATCCTACCTTGCTACGTGCTCTACTGCTGTAGCATCTGACCAACTATAGCATAATGAATCACCCAAAAGGTGGGTCTTGGTCTTACCTCTGGGTCTCCTGAATCCCACTTCACAGTTCAGCAATTAATAGATCAGCAGTTCACAGACCTTTTCTCCACTTCATTATGTTAAATTTGTCTGGATTCGAACACATCAAGATCATGTGAAACTATTTTTCTCAGCTTTACAGCCCCATTCATTATTGCCCTAACTCCTTTGCTGAGATATGTCATAACCTGAGTCTCAGGTTATGACGTAAGTGGAGTGAGCCAGCTGATATAACTTTTCTGACAAAATGAGACTTGCTGTGCTGCAGTTGGATTGATACAGAAGACCTAGAGGCCCCAACTACACCCAAAGCCATGTAAGAGTGAACATGAAGTCTGATGCCATCTTACTCAAGAAGTGACTGGTGTGGAAACAGCAGAATGACAGAAAGGAAGACCCTTTTATTTTCCATACTTGTATGCCGGAGCACTTTGAGAAAACTTCTGACTGAAATTCTGAAACTCAATTTCTTACACCCACAAAGAAAATGCGGCAAGGATGATATAAAATATACAAATAAGATATAAATAATTTTGGGTAGATTTAGTTAAAAATTCCCATTATTTATATGGGTGAATTCAGGCACAGAGGTGAAAAATAATTTCCCTAAGATTTAACTGCAAGTCAGAAGTAGGCCTGGAAACAGAAAGCAAGAGCTCAACCTGCTGTGCCTCTTGGGGGAGCATGTTTTAAAAAGATAGCTTAAGATACAGCTGAGGTTACTTTTTATTTTCATCCTTTCTTTTTTTTATAAAGTCAATCATAGGTTTTCAGGCTATGCAACTCCAAAATAAGGACCGAGGCATACACTTCAATAAAAACAGCAGGCAGTTGTTGAGGCTCTCCAAGTGCCTGAATTTTAAATCTGCCATCCCACTGTTAAGGAGCATTTCAGTGGCTGCTGCTGAGAAGATTCAGTCACAGTAACTTCAGAAGTGTTAGTAACCACATAGGCATCAAACCTTTGGGAAGCTCTTTATCAGTGAGGTGGAAATAGAAGCACATTTGGTGGCCTCAATCATTCTCTTAGGGCACACCAAGGAGCTGATGGGAAGTACACAGTGTCTCCTCCTGGGGACTGCCTTGCAGTGACGTCAGGGCCTTGAGATGCTTAGAGATCTCAGCTCCATTAGTTGGATCATCTTTCATTATCTATTTTTCATGAGGCACATGCAGTAGCTCCAGAGAATTCAGAATTCACCTATCTGGGCACTCAGCCTGCAGGATCAGGCTCTTGCTAGCACTAAGGACTTCAGAGACATGAGCCTAAGTTGTTTAGCTCACCCAGGGAACATCATATGAACTTGCTACACTTGTTCCCTTGTTTAAGTGGATTAGGGACACCCAGGGACTTGATAACATTCTCTGCCTCCAGTAACACAGACAGGGCAGACCCTACCAGGGGTGATCTGCCCCCAGGGCCAACAAGAGAAGGTTATCGGCCTCCCCAGTTGACACTCCTAGGCTTCTCTCCTGGGACTTCCACCAAGAGGGTCAATCAACCCTGAGAGGTTGGTTTTGGGATGTGAATATGCATATACAAAAAAGATACACTTGCTGTTAGCAATGGCCCAAAACACACATTCCCCTCAAGTGTAAACCGTATTTCACTCTGAATACCCTGAGCACAGGCATACTGTAAGTACTGGGGACAAAACTGCACCTACCCAGCTTTGCTTATATTGAGACTCCCGCTTGAGGCTGCTGCTCCTGAGCTCTACTCTGTCGGAATGAGCTCATTTGAATCCACCAAAGTTCAAGATTTCATAAAGATTAATTTGCCTTTGCCCTCTGCTAATCTGAGCTAAAATAATCTATTGTGGAGGCCAAAACTAAATTCTAGCAGGTGGATAGACTGGGTTATTACATAAAAATTGGGTCTGTCCTATCTAAATGGAGATGTCTACTGAACATAGGATGTTTTCCCAGGAGGTCCACGAAGAATCCTGAGACCAATCAAACTAATTTCATTTGCAGCTAAATAAGATTTAGGTGCAGCTTACCTGAAGCAAACCTTCTGTTTCAGAGAAACTTCACTCCTCTTTAGTGATAATACTGCAATTTTAAATAACACCAGGTGACAATGATGCTCCTTCCTGGTCCCATCAAATACTGCTATGCACAAAATCAAACCAGCCCTTTTTACTGTATCTCATGTTATGCTGATATTTCAGACCTTTTATTTTTAACAGAAGAGTGCATGTAAGTAACCAGAGGAAAGGATAAATAAGCATTTAATTCTCTGGAAGGGCATGCAGCATAGGTGAATCTTGAAGAAAAGAAGATGAAAATCCTCTTTTGAAATTACTGAGCAAATCAGTAGCAGCATTAACCTTGCATATATATTAACATTTAGAGAATAACCTCATTCTGACCCCTAGCCTTCAAAATACCCTTTTTTCAGTTTGCCTTTTTACGGCTACATAGCTCCCATGCATAACTGAACAGATTGCCCTGCTAGCTCCTGTATACAGCTTAATGCTCACAATCTCTCCCCTCTCAGTGCTTCCTGACATTCAGGGGAACATTATCTCTCTGTTCCTAAAAAGGGAATTCCCTATAGCTAGGAGGACAGACAGTCCCTAAAGGCCCTGGGGGCACCAGCTCTGCCACTTCAGCCTGCAGCTGGCTGCCTGCCTGGGTAGCAGCCCTGTGACCTGCTGTGAAACCCTGGACACTGCTGCTGGAGACAGAGAGAACTGAGGGTTAGATAATTCTGCCTTGAGCCTTGTGGGGTTTTCTCTTCTCATCTATTTTTAGCTGACCGAACAGCTGGCCTTGGAAGCCTGTTTACAGCGTGGAAAGCTTCTTTTTGCTAAACTGTACTAGGTGTAAAAGCCCTGAGAAAGCCTTAACCCTCTGAAAGGCAGGCCTGAGGTTGACACTCGTCTGCCGTTAACTGCCTGAGATGAATTTATACAAGCAGAAATGCAGCACAGGGAACCACAAATTCATTCACTTCAGCTGTCTATTTGTTACATCTTTGTGCATCTACAAGCCAGTCCCCTAGTCCAACAGGAAAAACCACATGTGACGTATAACCCAGGTTACTTTTATTATACATCCATGTGGGCTGGAATACATATGTAAGAGATACTTTTTTATATCTGATAGGAGTCAAGCTTTGATCTCACTTATGAGCAATACATAAAACCTATTTCCGAACATATTATATCAGTTCCTGTTCCCCACAAGTATTTATCAAAATTGGAGTGCAAAAACAGGACCTTGAGCTCACACCAAAGGGTGTATAAATCCTGCACTGACTGTTTGCTCTTTTGCTATGTACCGCAGGGATTGTGCAGATTCTAGCCTGGACTACGCAGAGTAGATGGCCTGGAAAACAAGACCAACTTGCTTTTACTGATGGACAGAGTTTGCTTTCTTGCCTTGTTGCTGGTTAGATTTGGTTCATTAATGCACATATTGCTACAAGCAGTACTCTTCCTGTCATTTTCCTCTTGTGGTGTCCAGAATGTCTTTCATGCTTTTCCAGGCTGCTATCACTGCAGACCTGCAGATGTAAATATCCCTTCCCATGCAGACCTTCCTTCATATGGAAAACAGACATGTGGGCAGTCATCTTTCAGGTTTTTATGTTGTCACAGGTACCCTGTTGTTCTGCTGCTCTGTAACACTTAGCTCCCACACTATAATCAAGCTGACTTTGCTGGGCTATCTTAATCTTGACATGAAAACACTTCTTGTGTAGGAAATATCTCTCTGACCTTTACCTGCTCTGGTAAAAGCTGCATTTCCATTCCTTTCCTCCTGTATTTCATACTGATCACTGTTGGAGACAATACATAGATTGCTCTCTTCTCACCCTAATGAAACGACCGTGAGACGTCCATTAAAAGGTGTGTTTCCACTGCCCTTGCTACTGTTCTACAACTGCTTCTATACTGAATATAGAGAATAACTCATGTGAAGTTCTGCCACTGGGTTTTGTAACTGGGACACAAAACTAGCCAGATCACAGAGACTTGGGAGTTCATGTTCTGAAATGTAAATGGACGATGTCCTGTAACACAGATTCCTACTGTTCTCTTCCCTAGGATCACTTTCAGAAGTTCATCCCACCAGGAGGGCATTACAGTGAAGATGCTCAAGGCTATGCCCATGGGCGGATGGTAGGAGGACTGACAGCTGGACAGCATGGGCAGCATGGCTCCAATAAGCAGCAGTATCCCAGTGCTCCTCCTAGGCCCAGAAGCAAAGGAGGCCCTAGGGACAGCAAAGGGGAGCATGCTGAGGAATCAACTGGGAGTGGTGAAGAAGGAGGTGATGGTACTGAGAAAGGCAAGTATTTATCTTCAGGAATAAGAAATAGCTAAAGCTGTCAGAGCTTATGCCGACCCTACTCCTAGGGACAAGTAGATAAATTTGTCAGAAACATGAATTCTTCCAAACTAAGTTCCATTGCAAAGTCTAGAAAAGTTGAACTGCCCTTAGCTTGACAGTTTTGTTAGCATACTTCTGTGTTGCTTAATCATATGCAAGAAGCAGAAATACCTTCCTTGGCTTGACCAAAGAAATTATAGAAAACATAACAACTACATGAGCTCCTAAGGTTGATAGAGCAGTATGCCTTTCCTTTCAAGGGTTTCACACTGACCATCACTGGAGATGGTAGTATTAGCTCTTTTGCTCAGTAGTCTGACCTGACACATCAGTTTTGAATATATCAGTCCTAATGTCAAATCAAAGCTTCCATCTAAACAAACAGCACTTTCTGGATAACCTTCAGAAAGGAACAGCATATTTCTAGAAGTTACCTGGTAATCACCAGTGGTCTACTGAAGCAATACCTTTACTAGTCAAAGTATTTTTCATTGAATTTAGTCTTGTATGAGAATCAGCAGGTGAAATAGTTATTTTAACAGTCCCTATGGGATTTTACAACAAAAAGTAAATTTGCTTGGGAACCAGGAATCACTGTCATAAATGACCAAATGACTGACTTGTAAAATCCAAGGTAGTTTACTCACATTCTGGAAGCATGTGCATTATATATCAAAATCTACTTTCACATTTCTGCCCATCTCTGTGAAAAAGAAAACTGTGTAGAGTATCTGTCTTGTTACAGGAGATTTTTCTCCATTGTTATCCTATTTCTGTGTGCAGGGAGAGGGAGGATTAATATCATCCCATAGCTTTCACTGCAGAAATGGATCCCAACTGCCTTTATTTTTCAACCCTAGCAATCAATTTACTTCTAAACTACTTCGTTTAAGTCCTTCGCACAGAAATAAGTGGGTAGTTGTTTTTATTTTTTAGTGAAAATAAGATTGTGTAAATGTCTGCAACTCTCTGAAACCAGGATCTGGGATTTGGCAAGGTTTGAATAAAATAAGCAGGACAAAGAAAGAAGCTGTGATAAGTAAGAAAATTTCAGTTAAGAGCAATAATACTCATTCTTTGCCACTTACTTCATGTTTCCAAAACAAACTGTAGCACCATGAAAGCACCAGAATGTCTGACTCCGTTAACCTATTATCCCTATCTGCCCTAATCAAGCTAAGCAGAAGTTATTGCTCAGTAGGCACACAGAAAGAAAACTTTTGTCTAAGCTCATTTGCTTAGCGAAGCAGCCAGAAGCATGTGACTGAACAGCAAAGTGCAGCTCTTGTCATTGACAGGATTTCAACTTCCATCATGCATAATGCTTACTTCAGAAGACAGATGCCATCACTCCCAACATCCCACCCTTCCTTCTTCTTCCCCCAGCTTTATATGCTGACCCTGACGCCATAATGTATGGAATACCCCCTTAGTCAGTTGGGGTCACGCGTCCTGGCTGTCCCCCCTCACAACTTCTTGTGCACTCACAGCCTGCTCACTGGTGAGGTGGTGAGAAGCAGAAAAGGCCTTGACTCTGCAAGTACCATTCAGCAACAACTAAAACTTCCCTGAATTATCAACACTGTTTTCAGCACAAATCTAACACATAGACCCATACTAGCTGCTATGAAAAAAATTAGCTCTATCCTAGCCAAAAGCAGCACAGAGCCTGAAATATGATGGTTAAAGGTTTTTGGTCAGTTTAAGTGAACTTCAAAGTTTAAGTCTAGTTTTGGAGTTTACACTCAGGACTTTGTTTGATGCATCTTATGATGGTGGTGAAGTTGATGTGGAGGGGTTTTGTCTGCTATGATCAGACAGAGAAGAAATAAATAAATTATGAAATTAGATAGCATTTTGCCTTGTATAAAGCTTCCCCTGAGCCAGTGAAAGAGGTGACAGGGTAAGGATACTGATTCTTGGGGAAAAAGGTTTCTACTTGAGCCACCAGGGAGAAGAATGAAAAATCAGCTTTCAAATATACACTTCAATGCAAATTCCTGGATAAGTGGCTTTTAGTGGTACACCTGCTTTTGTGGATAAGTTCAGAAGTCACATATAATAGTCTTTTTAAAAAGAAATCTAATCATAACTTCTTGGACTTGATCTAGGAGTTTCAGAATCAGGAAACAAAGCTGGAGTCTCCACTTCAGTAGCAGAAATCAAAAAAAGCAATGTATTTAGAGCATCATCTAACTAGAGTGTTTTACCTTCCTGTTTACAGATGGAAAATCAGGAGGCAAAAAAATCACTGTATTTAAAACTTATATCTCCCCCTGGGAACGAGCAATGGGTATCAGCCCCGAGGACAAAAGTCAGTTCACCATTGACTTACTGTCATACAGTCCCAAAGCTGATTTCCCCCATTACAAGTCTTTTAACCGGTAAGACTTCTTGGTTATTCGGTTTGGTTTATTAGCACGAGAAAACACAATAACCCTGGCCATAGCCCTCCCATCTTGTGCAATGTAAGTAAGTTCTAGCTACATGCCATTTTGCTTAGCACAGTCTTCTGTGGATGAAACATCTAGAGGCCTACAAAGAGAAGATAATTAAAGAGCTAGAGATGGTAATTCAGTTTATGGACTGAAAACCTATGCAGCTGCATAAGAGGATTTTAATCCTATTTCCTTTCCTTTCTCACCCCATCTGACCAGGGTGATTTAGCTTGCCACTGTTTACTACTGCAGCCATTTAAAGTTCAAGAAAAATACTGATGATCAGAAGCCATGTATTTCACATCACTCCAGATAAGAATCAGGATTTTCCTGCTGCTTCTGATAAGAACTGAGAGTTTTACAAATATTTCTAGGGCAGCAACAATTTTCTGTTAACCTCTGTATATGATTTTACCACCCACTTCTGTAGCCTCAGGACATCAATACCCAAGACAAACCCAAATCCCACTCACTTCTGCAATAAAGCAGCCTCTGCCTTCTATATGTATGGGGTACCATACAGGTCTGAAAACTGTATGATTTAATGGAGATTGATGCAACAGGGGTAAAGGAAGTACACAGGAGCAGAGACGTGGTAGTTTGGTTCTAAGTACATAGGCAATGGATGCATACATGTTCTCAGGAAGGATTTGTTGGCGAGTCAAGTGCAACAGCAGTAAAATTTACAATCTTGATAACTTTGCCTATTTTCTAAATCCTGTAGTTTACCTATGCTGTGTTCACTAACTCCATGTATTCCCCATGCCAGGACTGCCATGCCTTATGGGGGTTTTGAGAAAGCAGCCAAACGGATGACCTTCAAAGTGCCTCAGTTTGATATTTGCCCTTTGCTTCCAGAATCTCTCATGATATATAATCAAAATTTCAGCAGCAGACCCTCCTTCAACAGAACCCCAATACCATGGATGCCTTCAGGAGACTCCTCTGAGTATCATACTGAGATCAATGTGCCAAGGAGTGGTGAAACAGAAGAGCTGTAAATCCCTACTGTCAAGACCTTCCTCAGCCCTTTCTATTTGTAAGTTGATAGTAAGGAGCTGAAAAGTGCAACTCTAGTTCCATCAGCCTTTCCTTTCTTTTGCCTTTAGGCCAGACAATTTCCTAGCAGGTTCTAAACTCGTCTTCGCTGTGGAGTTAATCCATCAGAAACAGTTTGAGGGAAGAAAGCTTTTTATTCACCAGGGCATAGAAGGGCAAAACTAGGAAGTGTTTTTCTGCTAAATGCTGCCTGTCTGGTCCATCATAAATCTGTTTTGTCATATAGTAACAAGTAATAAAACACCAAGAGGAAAAAAAGCTTTTGTGTTTTCTCCTTAAAAAATGCTGCTGAATCAATTTGGGGATTAGCAATAATAAAAGTTTCAATCTCATAGTTAGACTGTTAGCACAGGAAGAAAGAGCAAGGACTGATGGGGATGGTCATAAGACAGGTATACATCCACGTGGCTTGGATAAATACTGCAAAACTGACGGTGGAGAATGATGACTTTGAGAGGAAATGATACAGGTAATCTTAACAACATCAGAGGTAAAATAGCAAGTGAGCCCTCTTAAAGTATTTCACTGTCACCTAAAAGTCCCAATTTTCCAGAGTATAAAACAAGTGATAGCTTAAACAGGATTGGTTTTGTGGTTTTTTTACACAGAGGAACCAAGAAGGCAATAGGTTGGGAAGGAAAAGAGGCACACTGAAGTGAAATGACTTGCCTATAGTTACAGAGTAAGAAAGCAAAAGCATTAATTAGAACAGAAATAATTTGACACCTGCCACAGTGCATTACTTATTCAAATACACAGCAGTCTGCTCCATTTCTTGTAACAGCTTTATTGATGCCACACATATGGGAAGAAAGGCAGACACCATGGAAAACCAATGAATAACTTTATTTTTCTACATTAAATACCTTCTGTTTCATGAACATTTGACCTCTGACACATAACATACAAGACTGCTGTTTCATTACCATACCCTAGCTTAGCCTGCATAGAGACTGGTTTGGCATTCTGTGTCCTGGTGCCTTCTTTAGATCAACAATTTCTCTTAAAAACAGGGATAAACAGCTTATTTAGAGCGACAGCTTCCATTGAAGTACTTTTAATTTAGGAAATTTTTCTCCTTGTCTAGAAATTCCTGCAGCCATATATTTGATTTTCATTCTGTTTGGATAGTTATGAGGTTGGTTTTATTACTCCTCTAAAAGGCTACTGGCAGGGCTACCCCAAGATCTCTTAAAAGATGTGCTAACAATAAGCTGCAGAAGTGAGGTATGAGTAATTTTCCAACCTTTCTGCTGAAATGGCTATAGAACTTTTATTATATGTCCTACTAAATGATTAAGAAGTATCTGTAACTCAGTTCTGTGACTAACTTAAAACTTGGTAATTTGACCTTCTGAAAAACATTTTGATAAAAATAAAAAAGATTGTCTTTTTTGACATGTTCCTACAAAGTATTTGAAGTTTCATTTGAAAACAACTCCTCAGAAAAACTTCGTTTGCTTGTTTGAATAAAATGGATCCAGGAATTAGTTGAAAACACGCTTCCCACACTGATTTCCTTTTCTAATGTCTACATAAATACCTTCAAATTTCACTGGTGAAAGACATCTAAAAGGGAAATTCTCATATTCTCAGTTTATTTCATATTCAATCTCTCTCTGAAGATAAGGATGCTGTGGGTTTTCCAACATTTTTAATCAATCTAGCTTTTTCAACTGCATTGTAATTAAGGAGAAGGAGATTTCTTTTCCAGTTCAAAAATTATTCTACTGTATTACAAGAATCCAGGCTATGAAGAGAATGCCAGAAGTTCAGAAAGACAAAGGAAATTTCAGAGAAAACTAGGCAACACTATGCAAAATAATTTCCCACCAAATATGCCATTTATTGCCTTGCCTTTTCTGACAGAGATTTCAGACTCTAGCAACACAGAATCACATGATTTTTTAAAGTGAAATACATGATGTTTTCATTGTAAATATGTCAGGAGCAGCAGAAACAAGACAGTTTGGTCCCTGGATGTCATGGTCTATTTTCAGTAGCAGGTGTTCCAGATCATGGGCCAGCTAGACATGTCAAAGTGCAGAGGGGTGGCTGCTCCAAGGACGGGTGAGCCCCAGGCAAGCCCAGCACGGACAGTGCCCTCACCAACCAGCGCACAAGCCCACCACATCTGAACATGGCAGGCAGAGCTGCGTGCTGGTGACAGGGTCCATCAATCATCGCAGAGATGGTGAGGGGATGAATCAGTTACAGGGACCATCCAGGGAATCTGGTCAGAAGCAAAAGGAAATAGGGCTGGACACAAACTACACTGTGGATCCAAAGTCCCTCTAGGAGACAGGCTAGTTCAAGTACAGCTCCCAGGTCCACCCAAGAGACAAGTAAAAGACTAAATAAAATAGGTCTTTCAATATACAGGGAAAGATAAGGAATGCTGTGGAAAAATAGCACAGTGCTCTCTGGTGGTGTAGTTTCAAAGTTCTTGCATACAAGGAAGGCAGCATCATCCAGCAAGGAGGTCAAAGGACTGGGTATATACCCAAAGCTCTCTCTGCGTCATAATGTACTGTTGGACAAGAGTTTTTATCTATGCACTCCATTATCACAAACCCTAAATGGGGATAAAAAGTTGCTACGTGCTTGGGCTTAGTATTGTATCTCTGCAAATTGTTAATGATATTGCTATAATTCATACTTACAAGCTAAGAGGATCCTTTGGTTTTGGTAAATTTGCTTAATGAGGCATATAGCTCTTCTTTTGCCAGCACACTTTCAATCTCAAATCCTGTCAAGCAGGATTTATGTGTTTTTGTTTCTAGTACAAACCAAGAAGGAACACTTCATTCCATAGTTCAGACTATGGTCTTGGTCTTTACATAGCTTAAGATGCATGCTAGTTTTGTCATCATTCAAAGTAATGTTAAATGTGAGAAAAATCAGTAATGTAAATTCTGTCACAAAAATAATTAATTCCAGTCAGGCTTGCAGCCACTGTAATCAGAGCAGAAGTTTGTCCAAAATGATCAAATATTTAAAAGGAAGTAAGTAACTGCTCCTGCTCTTTGCTTTCCTTGGGCTATGATGTAGACTCAGGGGAATTGCCTATGTCAGAAAATTATTTATATTAGGAGTAAGAGGATTTTATAAGATTTAATTACAGTGGATTTCCCCCACATACTAGGCGCTACAGAATGGAAATCCAGTCATCTGCTTTTAAGCAGGATCATCATAGTTAGAGATAAAAAAGAACTAACAAATTATTGAGCTCCTCCTCTTGTAAAGGCAGACTACAGTTCCCTCATAGAGGATGTACTGGATATTAAGCTTGCACTCCATGGAACAGGAGCCAAAACTCCATTTAACAGAGATGGGATGGCCCATGAAAAACAGATTGGATAGAATTTTGTGACATTCAGCTCTTTCACTCAGAACAAAGAGTTCTTATATTTAACAATGTTATTTTTAGGAATATTATTTTACAGTTTCCCAGCTTTGAAACGTTTGTATCATGTAAGGCAACTTGTATGATATAGAATCCAAGCTATACTGAAAATGCATAAAAAATAGTGCCTGCATTTTAATGTAAAAAAAAGGTGTTTAACAAAATCTCAGCAATACTATACATAAACATGGACTTGTGTATTTTAAAATCTTGCCTGAAGTTACAGCTAATAGCGTAAATATTTGGCGGGTAGTAGCACGGTTGATATGCTTTTTGGTATAGCACAGAAAAATCTTCCATTTGACTTGAATGCATTCCCTAATCAAACGGTTTGCATCTCATAATTGCATCTCATGTGAGCAGCTTGCCATTAGTGATGATGAGGATATAATTCATACAACTAACATCTGCGAATTACATTTTATGTTGTTATTGACAGAGCGTTTAGAGGAGATGGCTTTGCCATTAGGCTTAGTGAGTCTCTGAAATAAAATGTGAAACAGTTTCAGGCTGTTAGGAGAATATGGGCTTTATCTTGTTTGACTTTTTAAAATCACACTGTGAATACATAAAATGTATCCACTTCTTTTATACAAGATGGCAGGCACAAGACAGCCAAAAGCATGAACACGATTATTTCTCTTATGGAGCAAAGAGGTCTGCATGTGGCTGTCCGTCCCTCCATGAGAAGTGCTGACTTGTTGCACAAGGCTTGAACATTCACTGCACTGAGGCTTTTTTCCCTGCCTATGCAAGTGTATGTTCTCTTCCACAGAAGACTGCCACAGGTGTGATCATGTGGCAAACACCCCACTTCCAAATGACTACCCTCTAGCACAACAAGCTGCTATTAGCACTTCTCTGGCAACTTATGGGGTCCACCACTGCCCATCAGCAGCACGTACACTAATTTCACTTGAATGAGTATTAGAAAAGTTTGCAAGCCAGCCTGCTGGCTCACAGCACATTAATACATTTATATGCAATCTCATCTATGCCCACATCCTCAAATTGCAGGCTACAAACTATTTTAGACAAGTTGCCTATACTGTCTTGGAGATGTCCCTGACCAGGACCACAGATAGTCAAGCAGAATTTGCAGACACACACAGAAGCAAGATTGCACACATTTTGTGGAACCCTACAACTTTCATGAACTGCTGAGTATGTGGGATTTGAGACACTATTAATTACATTCATGGCATCATGTATCTACTAGTAAAAATCTCTTCAGCTAATGTAATTAATTAGCAGTGCCTTTATGCTGTACCTCTTGCTGTCTGTGTATTTAACACACAGTTTAAGTGTCATCTTTTCTCAGATGATCATCTTCTGCTTGCATTACAGCTTACATGACACTTTAATGAGTGCAAGTACTTGCTCGGATATATATTGTGTTAACACATGAAGTAAAGGGAAGAGAACTACATAAACCACTCTGAAGCAATATTTTTAAATGCAGCCTAAACTCCAGTCAGTTTGATAACCAAATTCTCAAATATAAACTCTTAATTTTCAATTGCACTTTTTAGAAACATTATTTATATCAAAACTTTTAATGTACATTTTCAAACTTTCTGAAGGAAACCTACAGACTCTTT